TCTAGTTCTGTTCTAATTCTGTTCTAGTTCTGTTCTAGTTCTGTTTTAGTTTTAATCTTAAAAGTCTTATTCAAGTATGTTGACTTTATTTTGCTCTCCACTGTAAATATTTGTTATTTTATAATTTTGATGACATTATTAAATTATTTTTATAAAACATCTAATTAGCTGACCACATATTTGTTATAATTTCAGTTATGACACCATTTAAATTAAATTTGATAACAGCTTATTTACGTCAAAAAACCACAAATATAAGTGTGCTATTTATTGTCAACACCACTGTCTTTATAGTACAAATTAAATTTAAAACATTACAAAGAAATTAATTTATCGACTTAGATCATTTGGAAAAACAAAAGCAGCGTCAATAATAATAATAGAAAAAGTAACTAAATGAAGAACGCCATATATAAAAATAAAAATAAAATAAATATTACGTTATAGTAATATGTATTTAGATTTGGTTGTTGACGTTTTAGTTTTTTTTTGCTATTTTTTTTTATTTGTAGGAAGAAGGTATGGTCTGGGTCTAGTGGGTCTGGTTGATTTGTTACCATTCAACCAACAACAATAATAATGAAGAAAAAAAAATACAAACAAAAAACATACACATGATGTCATACAAAATACTCCAACAAACTGACTGACTGGCTGTGACTCGAGTGGCTCCCATTTACGACATTTCTATTTATTTTCTATTTAAGCACAAGACTTTAACTAAACGTTTCGTTTCTTTTGCTAAATTAAAAGAAATTAAACACCAATCTGTTGGTGGCTAGTAATGGCATGTTTTCTATTTATAAATATTTATTAGCATTTTTTAAATAATAAAAGTAATTGCCAAAAATTGCTATTTATTATTATTTATTAGTTAAAAATTGCAAGTGTTTTGTTTGCTTGTTTTGTTTTTTCCTTTTAACGATTGGCCTTATGATATGATGATGATGATGGTATTAACAATATTTTTGTGTGTAAAATTTTTTAAATTATTTTTGATTGGGTGCAAAATTGTTGTTTTTATTTTTAATAATATTTTATTAAACAAAGGCAATATTTAAAATAGAATTATTTATGTTGCTTTCGTATGTGGGTGGGTGTGTGTTAATGACTTTGAAAATAAATACAAACAGCGTATTTAAAATATTTCAAATCTTCTACACATGTAACCTTCTTTCTTTATGAGTTTTTTTTTTTGTCTTTCTAAGGTGTTTAGTATAGATTTATTTTTATATGTTTAAGTTTACACATATTTTTGTTTATTTTTTAGGGAAGAAAAATTAAAATCAAATTAGAAGATTTGCGAAAAATTATTTTTATAATTTACATTTATTAATATTTATCGTAAATATATTTGCTAGTTACAGTACTCTAAGAGAGTTATTTAATATCTTGTTTGTTAATTTAGATTTCGGTTCAATTTCGATTTTTGTTTAACTTGCAAAATATTCAATTTTTACCAAGTTAAAAGTTTTAAAACTTTATCGTAAATATTCTTGACAATTCGAATAAATTTGAAATAAAATTTCTTATGTAGTATAAAAGCCCTTAAATTAAGTTAATTTAGATTTTTGTTAAAACTTAAAAATTTTTATTTTGCACCAAGTTATAAAATTTTATAACTTTATCGTAAATATTCTTGGCAATTCGAGTAAATTTGAAATAGAAGTTTTTATGTAATATAAAAGCCCTTATATTTAGTTAATTTTGACTTTTGTTAAATCTTAAAAATATTTACTTTTGGCCAAGTTATAAAATTTTAAAACTTTATCGTAAATATTTTTGACAATTCGAGTAAATTTAAAATATAATTTTTTATGTAGTATAAAAGCCCTTTAATTTAGTTAATTTTGATTTTTATTAAAACTTAAAAATATTTACTTTTGACCAAGTTATAAAATTTTTAAACTTTATCGTAAATATTTTTTTCATTTTGACTAAATTTTAATAGAATTTCTTATGCAGTATAAAAGTCCTTAAATTAAGTTAATTTTGATTTTTGTTAAATCTTAAAAATATTTACTTTTGACCAAGTTATAAAATTTTTAAACTTTATCGTAAATATTTTTGCCAATTCGGGTGGGTTTGAAATCAAAACTCTTATTTAGTATAAAATTCTAATATTTCTTTAATTTTGATTTTTGTTAAAACTTAAAAACATTTACTTTTGACAAAGTTATAAAATTTAAAAACTTTATCGTAAATATTTTTTTCACTTTGAGTAAATTTGAAATAGAATTTCTTATGTAGTATAAAAGCTCTTTAGTTTAGTTAATTTTGATTTTTGTTAAATCTTAAAAATATTTACTTTTGACCATGTTGTAAAATATTTAAACATTATCGTAAATATTTTTTTCACTTTGAGTAAATTTGAAATAAAATTTCTTATTTTACTAAAATCTCCTTATATTTATCTAATTTTGATTTTTTATAGATCTTAAAAATATTTACTTTTGACAAAGTTATAAAATTTTTTAACATTATCGTAAATATTTGAGAGCTTTAAAACGGAGCTTCAATACAAGTTTTTATTTCAAACGAAAGCTGATATCTTTCCTTAATTTTGATTTTTGTTAAATTTCATAAATCTCTTCTTTTAAAATTTCTAAAATTTTTTTGAAACTCCCTTTAATTTAATTTTTATAAAATTCCATAAATGAATTCTTTTAAAATTTCTACAAAATTTTTTCCTTAATCATTAGGACCAGTTTATGATTAATAACAACAAAATACTGAAACATCAATTTGTACTACAGGAATTTTAAAGTCCAAAAATAAATATGACGATTACTCTTTGTTCAGTAGGAAAAAAAAACAACAACAACATAAGGAAAGGTCAGTGATCACTATAATCTGTGCAATAAAACTGATCAATAAAGGAAAAAATTCAATTTTGTTATTTTTTTTATTACTTTTGCGCTTAACTTGCTCCATTACGACGTCCACCACAATGAAACAGGAAATTAAATTGATTTAACAAAAAATCATATAATATTTAAACGTTTGACTCAATTGAAATGTCTTTTTAATAAATGTTTATATGACAGATCATTTCATTTATTTATGATCATTTATAAAGCTTAGGGGTCAATGAAATCTTTACTCTGATTGAAATTAATATTTTTTAAAAGTTGTGGATTTTTTTTTTTAATTTTTTATTGTCGATTTTATTTTACAACATCATCAATTTGTTGCTGGTGTTATTTTTATTGTTATTGTATACGTATCGTATCGTATAAGTTATAAAAATGTAGAGAAAAAAAAAAATATTTTATTAAAATAAAAAATATATATTTTTATACATATTTTTATGTTAATTAAAATGCAACACGCGCTTAATGCCTAAAAGATCAAGTTCAATGATATTGTCGTCGATCATTTTTAATAAATTATTTTTTTTTAATATTTCGTTGTTCGTAAAAAAAGAAGAGGAAAATACAACAACAAATTGTCTAGTATAAGGCTTTTGTTGCTGTTGCTGCTATTTGTTGTTGTTCTGGTGGTGATTCTAAAATAATAAACACGAGTATAAAAGAAGCAACAACAACAAAAACACATTTAACGATCAAAACATGATTTAAAATAACGATGACAGAATAAAATACCACTGACGACGCTGCTGCACCAACATCACACACACACTCACTAGCTGACGTTGCGATTGGTGAATGAGTGTGTGGTCAGGGTTTGAAAGGTACTAATTATTTGTAAAAAAAATATATTTCTTGATTAATCATTAGCGAGATTTTCTAAGTAAAATTAATTAAGTTTTTTGGAATTTTGAAATTACTACTTGATTTATAGTTCTGTTCTAGTTCTGTGCTAGTTCTGTTCTAGTTCTGTTCTAGTTCTGTTCTAGTTCTGTTCTAGTTCTGTTCTAGTTCTGTTCTAGTTCTGTTCTAGTTCTGTTCTAGTTCTGTTCTAGTTCTGTTCTAGTTCTGTTCCAGTTCTGTTCTAGTTCTGTTCTAGTTCTGTTCTAGTTCTATTCTAGTTCTGTTCTAGTTCTGTTCTAGTTCTGTTCTAGTTCTGTTCTAGTTCTGTTCTAGTTCTGGTCTAGTTCTGTTCTAGTTCTGGTCTAGTTCTGTTCTAGTTCTGTTCTAGTTCTGTTCTAGTTCTATTCTAGTTCTATTCTAGTTGTGTTCTAGTTGTGTTCTAGTTGTGTTCTAGTTCTGGTTCTGTTCTAGTTCTGGTTCTAGTTCTGTTCTGTTCTGTTCTGTTCTAGTTCTGTTCTGTTCTGTTCTGTTCTGTTCTGTTCTAGTTCTGTTCTAGTTCTGTTCTGTTCTGTTCTAGTTCTGTTCTAGTTCTGTTCTAGTTCTGTTCTTGTTCTGTTCTAGTTCTGTTCTAGTTCTGTTCTTGTTCTGTTCTGTTCTAGTTCTGTTCTAGTTCTGTTCTAGTTCTGTTCTAGTTCTGTTTTAGTTCTGTTCTAGTTCTGTTCTAGTTCTGTTCTAGTTCTGTTCTAGTTCTGTTCTAGTTCTGTTCTAGTTCTGTTCTAGTTATGTTCTAGTTCTGTTCTAGTTATGTTCTTGTTCTAGTTTTGTTCTAGTTCTGTTCTAGTTCTGTTCTAGTTCTGTTCTGTTCTAGTTCTGTTCTAGTTCTGTTCTAGTTCTCTTCTAGTTGTGTTCTAGTTCATATAATTTCGAATTTCATTAAATTCTAATAATTTTGAATTTTAATTTTTTGGAAAATTTTTAAAAGAAAACATTCATTTCAACCGCTGAGCGGGTCACAAGGAAAGACGCAACAGTAACAAAAGTGCAACAAAAACAAATAAATAAAACAATAATCATAAAAAATAAACAGCAAAAACAAATTTTTCTAATAAATTAAAGATTTGAAAATGGAAAACAAGTGGATGAAGATGACAAAAATAAATAATAATAAATTAAAAATATTTAAAAAACACATAAAAATAAATAATAATAATAAAGAAAATATTTGATTATAAATTAATAAAATTATAAATAAATAATAATAATAAAAATAATAAAAGAAAAACATACCCCAAAAATAATTGTGTATGATCCGTTGGTGTTTCATGATAATTGTGAACATTTAGGGTTTGGGGACGCATACTGTTGGAGGACATTAATGGTGAGGACGATGACGATGAAGATGCTGTAGCCGCTGTATTCAATAAAGCAGAGGTGGAACTACTGCGATAGGTGGTACGTATGCTGGTTATACTGCAGCATGTGGTTTCTGCCAAAGCGGTTTTACAATTCAAACAGGGCAACATCACTTTATTCAAAAGTGAGCCTGTGGTAGCCGGAGTAACAACTGCCGTTTGTTTTGTTGTTGTGGTTGTTCTATTATTAAGTTTTTTGCCGCCATTTAAAAATTTACAATTATTTGCTGAAGCATTATGTTTGGAGCCGCTAGTACTATTCACAGCTGCTGTTGAGGTTTTAGCTCTTAAACCCATTTTGGATTTTTGTTTTCTAGCAAAAGGAGTCAATAAAGGTTGGGGGAGAGAGAGAAGAGTTTTGGGGTAAATATTTGTTGTTTGTTTTATAAAAGATTTGTTTCAAAATCTTTAAGCAAAAGTTTTGTAAATTTTATAGATTTTATCACTTTTAGTTTAAGGGCAGTTGTTTTGTATAAATGGCGGCTGTTTTAAATATTCTTTTTTTCAAAATTTTGCGTTTTTATATATTTTAACTTTAGTCATTTTTTGAATCATTTTTTTTTGTGTAAATTGTTTTTGTTTTAAATGCTTTTAAAATTAAATAAAAAACAAATATTTTTGTTCAAAATTATGTACACACTTCTTCGGTAAAAATTTTATTTTTATTTATTTATTTTTCATTTTCTTGTTTTTTGTTTTAATTCACTGTCAAAAGTATAAAAAAATAATAAACATTTTTAGTCAAGAACTCAATAAATTATCAAAAACACACACACTCACTCACGCGCCTTTTACCACACACAACAATAAAAATATTTGCATATAGTTTTTTTTTTTCTTTTTTGAATAGAGAGTCTCTCCTCTGGGTTAAATGTCTGTGTCTGTTTTAAAACGCCAACTGCGAAGTCAGCGTCTTTGATTTTTATACTTGATTTTATTACTTTTTTCATAGATTATTTATTGGTTTTTCTAAGGCATTCTTCCATCATTTAACCGTTAATAATTTTGTCTTTTGACCCAAAATGTTTTTGGTTTTAAACGTTTTTCAACATTGCATATTAGAACGCGTCTTAAAGTTTAATTTTAGATATGATTTTTACTAAAACCGATATCTCTGCAAACACGTTCGAAACGAAATCGTATTTCGCTTTTTACTTGTTTGTTCAACCTTTAAACAAAATAATAAAAAAACTCAACAGAAAACAAAAAACTAAATAGTGGAAAAAATAGCGCGTTTATGCCTGAAGTCTCCGAAGGCAAATGTACGAATGGGGCAGGCAATTGTTTTGTATGAATGAAGACTGTGCTGCTACAAAAAAATAAACCAACAACAAATCATTGTTAATCGTAAGCAGAGAAACAAACGGTGTATAGAAAAAAAATCATTTTGTATCTGTGTTGTTATTGCCTCTTTTAGGTGAGAACAACACTTTTTTCCATGATGGTAGTGGTAGAATATTTATGTAGCTGTGGCCGAAAGCGGAGTTGCCAGATATTGCCATGGGTCTTAATCGTAATTGGGAGTGAAGATATCTCTGACGATCTCGAAGGACCAAACCAAAACGAAGATTAGCCGTCATCAAAGGCTCAATTTCAGCTCTACTTCAGATCTAGTTCAGTTCTAGTTCAGTTCTGGTTCAGTTCTAGTTCAGTTCTAGTTCAGTTCTAGTTCAGTTCTAGTTCAGTTCAGTTCTAGTTCAGTTCAGTTCTAGTTCAGTTCTAGTTCAGTTCTAGTTCAGTTCTAGTTCAGTTCTAGTTCAGTTCTAGTTTCAGTTCTAGTTCAGTTCTAGTTCAGTTCTAGTTCAGTTCTAGTTCAGTTCTAGTTCAGTTCTAGTTCAGTTCTAGTTCAGTTCTAGTTCAGTTCTAGTTCAGTTCTAGTTCAGTTCTAGTTCAGTTCTAGTTCAGTTCTAGTTCAGTTCTAGTTCAGTTCTAGTTCAGTTCTAGTTCAGTTCTAGTTCAGTTCTAGTTCAGTTCTAGTTCAGTTCTAGTTCAGTTATCGGTCTAGTTCAATTCTAGTTCAGTTCTAGTTCAGTTCTAGTTCAGTTCTAGTTCAGTTCTAGTTCAGTTCTAGTTCAGTTCTAGTTCAGTTCTAGTTCAGTTCTAGTTCAGTTCTAGTTCAGTTCTAGTTCAGTTCTAGTTCAGTTCTAGTTCAGTTCTAGTTCAGTTCTAGTTCAGTTCTAGTTCAGTTCTAGTTCAGTTCTAGTTCAGTTCTAGTTCAGTTCTAGTTTCAGTTCTAGTTCAGTTCTAGTTCAGTTCTAGTTCAGTTCTAGTTCAGTTCTAGTTCAGTTCTAGTTCAGTTCTAGTTCAGTTCTAGTTCAGTTCTAGTTCAGTTCTAGTTCAGTTCTAGTTCAGTTCTAGTTCAGTTCTAGTTCAGTTCTAGTTCAGTTCTAGTTCAGTTCTAGTTCAGTTCTAGTTCAGTTCTAGTTCAGTTCTAGTTCAGTTCTAGTTCAGTTCTAGTTCAGTTCTAGTTCAGTTCTAGTTCAGTTCTAGTTCAGTTCTAGTTCAGTTCTAGTTCAGTTCTAGTTCAGTTCTAGTTCAGTTCTAGTTCAGTTCTAGTTCAGTTCTAGTTCAGTTCTAGTTCAGTTCTAGTTCAGTTCTAGTTCAGTTCTAGTTCAGTTCTAGTTCAGTTCTAGTTCAGTTCTAGTTCAGTTCTAGTTCAGTTCTAGTTCAGTTCTAGTTCAGTTCTAGTTCAGTTCTAGTTCAGTTCTAGTTCAGTTCTAGTTCAGTTCTAGTTCAGTTCTAGTTCTAGTTCAGTTCTAGTTCAGTTCTAGTTCTAGTTCAGTTCTAGTTCAGTTCTAGTTCAGTTCTAGTTCAGTTCTAGTTCAGTTCTAGTTCAGTTCTATTAGTTCTAGTTCAGTTAGTTCAGTTCTAGTTCAGTTCTAGTCAGTTGTAGTTCAGTTGTAGTTCAGTTCTAGTTCAGTTCTAGTTCAGTTCTAGTTCAGTTCTAGTTCAGTTCTAGTCAGTTCTAGTTCAGTTCTAGTTCAGTTCTAGTTCAGTTCTAGTTCAGTTCTATTTCAGTTCTAGTTTAGTTTAGTTCTAATTCAGTTCTAGTTCTAGTTCAGTTCTAGTTCTAGTTCAGTTCTAGTTCAGTTCTAGTTCAGTTCTAGTTCAGTTCTAGTTCGGTTCTAGTTCAGTTCTAGTTCACTTCTTGTTCAGTTGTAGTTCAGTTCTAGTTCGGTTCGTTTTCGTAGAATTTTTAAAATCTTAAATAATACTTGACTTGAAACATACATCCATTACATCCATTATTACAAGTCTATTAGCACGCATTGAACAATAATTTCCTAACGCTTAAATAGTCATAAAGAAAATTTATTGCAGCAAAAAAAGTCAATAATTAAAAAATATGTTTTCATTTTGATCTATCGCAATAAATTAAATAAAAACAATTGCGTTTTGCATTTAGACTTGAATTTCTAAGTAAATTAATTAAGTCATTTAAATTATTGTTTGTCAGACAATGAAATAATGTCTCAAAACATGTCATTAGATGACAAAGCTCAAGTTTTAATTGAGACATATTAATAGCATTGACATTTTGTAATGAAATAATAGTGAAAAAATTACACAGTGGGTGGGAAGGAAATAGTTTACAGAAAATTATGGAAAATAAATAGAAAATCTTTTAGAGATAGAAAAGAATCAGGATTAAAGTATAAAATTTAGTATTTTTCGAATAGTATCAGATCTAGAGACCTTATGTTTTCTTGAGAGTCTTTTATATTAAATGATCTTGGGATTTCCCTTCCATTTCCGCATAAACCTCCCCATCCGGTAACTCTATATTTTTGTATTCTCACGATCTTTGCTTGTTTTCTCACTCTACTCACCTATTTCCCCTATGTGTGAGAGTATGTATCTGTGTGAGCATTTGTCGGTAAAACAAATTAAAAATTGTTGGTACCATGAACGTATTGTACGTACCTTTTTTATATCTAATCGAAAAAAAGAGAAAAATTGTAACAATTTTCCCAGCAGTTTCCCAACAAACTCTTGCTGTGCAACCAACCTGCCTGTATTATTGGTATAATAGGAAAATGCTTAAGATTTCATATCGCATTTAGCCTTTTTTACACAACGGATAGTTGATCCCTTTTGTAAGGGACTCCTTACAAGGTTTAAAGAATCGCCAAGTGTTTTTTAAAAAGAAAACATAATGCACATTTAACACTTGTAGTGATAAACGAGCTGATATCTGTTGGAAAATTTCTTATTTTCCCAAAGAGGTTGTTTTGTTACCTGTTATGCTAAGAGCAAGAGAGTGGGTTTTTTCTTGATGTCGAAAGGAAATTGAAAATGTCTTTTCTTTTATAGGAGAAATGTTGTTGGGAGTTTTTTTGAAGATTAGGAAAGAGGGAATTATATTTTTTTGGAAATCTGTATCTGCAGAGTAAATAAAAGATATTCGTTGATGTTCCAAAAGATCAAAAGAGCGCATGGAATTTACTATATATTTTTGCAAGTCATGTGATCAGAATCAAGTGACAACTATGGATAAATGTTGTGCAATATTTAATCGCTATGGGTACGATCAGAAAATGATCGTGGAAGTGAATTGTCCAGCAGATAATACAGAAATGAGATCGTAGGATCGGAGGGCAGTTTCTAAAGTTACAGAAAAGAAAGTAACAGAAAAGGTGAAAAGCATATAACAACGATTTGAGGAAAGTTAAGGATATTTTGGTAATTAGAATTTGAGTTTTTAGACAAACCAGAGAAGGAAGAGATAAAGGTTGATCAAGGCTAACCAACTAACGAACGAACGAAACGAACGAACGAACGAACGAACGAACGAAGAACGAACGAACGAAAACGAACGAACGAACGAACGAACGAACGAACGAACGAACGAAACGAAGAACGAACGAACGAACGAAACGAACGAACGAACGAACGAACGAACGAAAACGAACGAACGAACAAACGAAAACGAACGAACGAACGAAAACGAACGAACGAACGAACGAACGAACGAACGAACGAACGAACGAACGAACGAACGAACGAACGAACGAAACGAACGAACAACGAACGAACGAACGAACGAACGAACGAACGAACGAACGAACGAACGAACGAACGAACGAACGAAAGAACGAACGAACGAACGAACGAACGAACGAACGAACGATAACGAACTAACGAACGAACGAAAACTACGACAACGAACGAAACGAACGAACTAACGAACGAACTAAAACGAACTACGAACGAAAACTAACTAACGAACGAACTAACTAACGAACTAACGAACTAACTAACTAACTAACTAACTAACTAACTAACTAACTAACTAACTAACTAACTAACTAA